AGAGAGAGAGAGAGAGAAAGAGAGAGAAAGAAAGAAAGAGAGAGAGAGAGAGAGAGAGAGAGAGAGAGAGAGAGAGACCGAGATCAGTCTGTCCACAAATGTTGAATGTTTGAATTATCACTTTGGGTTAACAACATCGTTCAATTTCAACAATCGTGGCCAGATTATCAATTCACAGAGTTGATTCTTTTCCGTGAGGCGTGCAAGGCGTTTTTCGCGTTGCCTAGGGTAACGAATCTGAGCAGCAGAAATGCGTGGTCAGAATTGGCGCCATGGCAATAGCATTTCAGTCTGAATAGTATTTTTATCTACCAATCCCTAGTCAATATTTTTCATTTCTTTTATTGTTATTATTAATATTATTAGTATGCTTTACTATTATTTTGTTTATGCTATTATTATTCCTACTCTAGAAGCATATGAGAGTATGCTACAATAACAAAAAGTAAAGTATACAAGTCACGTGCTTAATCGTAAAGCAGTAAAAACACAATAGCTTTTATTAGGGTGAGCACCGGGCTCCAATTAATTCTCAGATGCCACGCGCGCGTATAGCAAAATGTGACATTCTTGCTCGCGGAGGTTTAACACTTCAGTATTAAAGTTTTTATGCCTTAAAATTTAATTTTGTCTCTTTTCTTCGAATGGTAACAGAATATATGTATTGCAAATACATATTTTAAAGCCAAATATTCAGAAACTGGTCGTGTTTGAAAATATTCTGAACCTCCAGCATTATACTCCCAAAATGACCCATTCTCCAGCAAAATCTAACTGAACCTCCAGCAAGCTGGTTGAACACCCTTGGCAGGTCTGCTCTACTACTGCCCTCGCTACAGGTTTTCGATATGCAAGACACGGTATGTTCGGTCTTCCGTACAAGGGTCACAGCAGGTCAAACGACCCGCTTCTAATACGGCTCGTCTGTACCGACACGGTGTCACTTAATTAAACGCGAAACTGAGGTCGATAGACTGCTACAATGAATACACGAAGTCAAGTCAACAGTTGAGATATCGGTGTAATGGCGCGGGTGTTTGTCGTATCGTGTTAGTGTTTTTTTTTTCGTAGCCATGCGACCTTCTCTGATATAACATGCGATTTACGACGATGAACGCGCGACTGATGACAAAAGCGACACTGATGCCCACATCGTGCAGTATTGCATACGTATATTGTATATTGTAAATAGCAGGAAGCATGTGAGTTGTGTGCATATACATCAGAAGTAGATAATAGGGAATCTATCTATATTCTATATATATAATCCCTACTATCTACTTCTGATATACATCGCACTACGGATGTGCTCATTTATCAGCTCCTACAATAGCTCCATGGACATCAAGGTAAGATCCACATCACCTCGTTTTCGCACTGCGAGTACATGAATTTGTCCACACACGCACGCACGCACGCACGCACGCACGCGCACACACACACGCACGTATCACACAAGTACGCGCACACACACGCACGCACGCACGCACACGTGTGTGGGGTAGCCGATTCGGCACTCCCTAGCATCACAACGATTTTTGCTACACTGTGAGATGAGTGGCTATAATTAGATACGATAACGATGAGCACTGTGCGTGGTGCCTGTAGAAGCCAACATCGGCACAGCTAGCGTGTGCCGCGTCTCCCTCCCTCCCTCCATCCCTCCCTCCATCCCTCACTCACTACGTTACTGCACGCGATTAGCAACAACGCTGAGGCTTACACGGCGTGTGTGGATCAGCTTACCCACGAAAACATTCCAGACCCCCCTCCATGCAAGTGTTATGAATTACGGAGGGCCGAGTAAATGGCTTACTGCTTTACCATACACTGCTAAGCGGCCGGACGCAGCTAATAACGAGGGCGTTGTGGTTGAGACTCTACATACAACGTACGTATTGCGGCTGATATGTGCCAGGCAAATACGATCATTTAAATGTGTGCAAACGAAGGAGACGTGAGTGACTTAGCACCCCCATTTCGGTTCTTGATAATACCAAGAGTAGATAATAACATTTTGTTTTCATTATCTACTCTTGATAATACGCAGCAAACCTTTGCAGTAGGCTAATTAACATTGCTCTATAAAGATATAGAGAGGGGGAGGGAGCGGGAGAGGAAGAGAAAAAAGAGAAAGAAAGAAAGATAGATAGATAGATATACAAACAGACAGACAGACAGACAGACAGACAGACAGACAGACAGACAGACAGACAGACACACTATGATTTGTAGATGGATGGATGGGTGGATAGATAGATATAGATAGATAGATAGATAGATATCTAGATAGATTAGATAGATAGATAGATAGATAGATACAGAGAGGGTGAGGCAAAGCGGTGGAAGAAAAAGAGAGAAGGATAGGGAGAGGAAGAGGGAGAAGGAGGGAAGGAGAGAGGAGGGAAGAAGAAAGAGTAAGAGAGAGAGAAATCGAACGAAATAATTTCTAACTAGACGAATGTATTTGGACAGGTAATGACAGAATAAAAACACAAATAAAACAGCATGCAACTTTTAAAATTAGAAATAAATTGTTTCTCAATGTGAGTGCAGGACACCTGTGTACCTATACCTGGCCGTCTGCCGTGTGTCATGAGTGCAGGACATTAAAGTATACCTGGCCGTCTGCCGTGTGTCATGAGTGCTTGCGGAAAAGTACACATTAACCCTGCAGGCAGGCAGTGTGACAAGTTCCATGGCACCCCCCCCCTCCCATAACAAGTTGGACCGCATGCCACTGCTCGACCCCGTGAAAGTAAGTGCCCACTTAAACACTGATACTTTTGCTGTAGTAAGGCTCTCTCGCGTGCCTTTAGGAATGGAGTATAGTAATCAAGAGTAAGTAGCACTAGAGTGCTAGGTAGTCTGCTACAACCACTGTTTGTCACAACCCATGCAGTGTGCTAGGCACCCTCATAGGAACTTATTTTTTAGCCGGTTAATGGCATCTATACGAGTTTTATTAGGGGAACGTTTTTCCTGCCTACGAGATGAGCCCCGATATCTCACCTAGTCTCATGCTAACTGACAGGGAAAATGCTTCTGCGATGGTCTGATATCTATTTAATTTTTATGCTGAAATTAAATGCTAAAACCATGGACACTAACACCATATGTAAGATGGCATAAACCCATGAATTTGAAGAATATTAGTTGAAGCAGGGCACACTAACTGTACAGTGTGAACCGCTGCAATATTTCCATCAATTTTTAATGAAAATAAATAAGAAAAACAGGAGCAGAAATCAGCATACAGAAAGAATCCACTGGAAACCAAAAAACCCAAATTGAAGGGTTTAACCAACCTACATGGTAGGCTGATCATGTTTTACTAAACATTAGTTTACTGTGTGATTTCTACGTTATTTATTACAAGAAAGTAGGAAAGGTAGCATGAGTAATATTAGGGTAATATAGTAATACTAATACTAGCGTAATATAGTAATAGGTAGAGGAGAGACAATGAATGCAAGTAGCATAAAGACAAAGACTGCACATCAATGTCATATATATTATGGGACGCATAGCATCAGGAGTCCATAATAAACACTATTATGAACTCTTGATAGCATAAAAGAGGAGTTCACGCAGTAGCCATTACTGCAAGAACAATCTGAAATGCACAGCTGCAACAGTAATAGCCAAACAACAGAGAAAAACAATATAGGCTGCACTAGAAAACTGATGAGGGCCAGAGACGACAGATGATATATATGGATCAAAATGAACACAAACTAACATATATATATATATATACACAAGCAAAATAAAGTAATGTAACGAAAGACACGTATATGCCGATAATGTACATAAAGACGGCAGGTCATGTATACGATCGCACAATGCAGCAGTACATTTATTAGAACCTCACTAGGGGTATGCCGCAAAATATCCATAAACTAAAGATCTACAGTGACCATTGCAACAAAATGTTGCAATTTTATTCATCCTAATCCTAATCCCTTATTATCTTAACTCAGGATAGTAATATAATAGATAATGTAAGACAATACCTGGAGCAGTGTGGGAGTATGCGACGTGCAGATGAGCTAGGGCGTGTATTCCGCAAATGCACATAGACACACTACTGGGCCGTTCCCTCTTTGCACACACACACGCGCACGCACCGCAGGTCTTCCAGGCGTGAGTATACCGGCTCTTGGACTGGGCCCTATCTTCTCGCCTGTTCTGTAAGTTCATGCAGTAGTTAAGTGAGGGCGTGTCTAAGGGGCTTGCATTCCACAGAGTATTTCATGCATATCAGCTGCCACACATCAGTAGCGACAACTCCCCATACTATCGCGTGTCATCAAACTATTGGCATAATTTTGTGCTATGGAGTGAAACATACACATTAGCGTCATTGCTCCAATTACCACACTAATGACACTATGTTCATTACTTGTTTGCTAGTTATAATAATTTTTTTAACCAGCTACACATTACAAGGCAAAAAGTAATAAACCCAAGTTAAATAAAAGAGCATACAGGTAGGGAAACTGGGTTATTACCTACAACATATATTTGTAAGTGTGGAATAATTAGCTAATTCTAAAACTGCATCACATATTTACATTAGTATAACATTGAAATAATACTTAAATGATACATCTTCAGAGCTGCTGCCATCTATGGGGAAGATTTTTCATAGCTATTTTAACCTATACCAACATTATTTTCCTTAGTACACAACTAAATGGGTGACAATAATAAAGCATGATAATTTATATGCGCACACCCACGAATCCCCCTGCTCACACATGCACACACACGCACGCACGCACGCACGCACGCACGCACACACACACACACACACACAAACACAGACACACACACACACCAACAACCCATGTGCGCAGGCTCGTATTAAAGCTACACAGTTTAATATCCTAATGTTATAACACATATAACATTTTCATGCACAAAAACGCCTATGTACTTACTGTAGCATTTGTGTTGTCAACATTGGCAAGCCGGTCATTCCCTGACATATGTGAAGAGCCCCTAAGCGACCTTACGGCCACAGGTGTGTTCCCTCGCACGTCATAATGCAACTTATCGTGTAGCTAGTAACCAGAATAGTCATTTGATTCCAATCCCAGAGAACAGAACCAGTCCCCCAGTTCATCACAAAGAAGTAAAATCACAGTCTTGTATTAGCTGGCTTCTACAGAGCACTTTTAACAAATTCTATTTACAGAATTGTGGAAGCAACACGTTTCTTCTCCTCAACCGCTGTCGATCGCATCAAAGTCATGATCCGTCTTCGTATATCATGCCGTTGTCTAGTCCATCATCCAGCGATCAATAGCCTACATTCACTGCGCACCGAATTCGTGTGTGGCACCAGCTCACAACACACCCACCAGAGTGTAAATTTCACAGTGCAGTCGCAGCGGTCATCAATGCCCAGTGAATCGCAGAACCTTGAAACAATCTGGAAATCTGGTTGAGGTCTGCCAGACAAACTGTGGATACTTTCTATCGCCGATTGGATGATGCACATTGATCATCCATGCTGTGACACCGCACTCCATTCTCCAGTAAACTGCAGAATCTTGAATTAACCCTTAATAATTCCTGAAATTCACTTGATGTTTACCCCGCCTAACTGCAGACCCTTTTCTCTCACCGATGTAACATTCATGCAGTCATCCTGAACCAGACTACATACTCTCGCAAACCGCTGAATCTGGAATCTCGAATCAACCCGGAAAAATTCCAGAAATCTGGTTTACCCCAGGAAACGGCAGCAACTCTACCTTGCAGATGTGACATTCGTGTGGTAACCGCCGTGCTCCGACCAGACTCCACACGCCAGCAAATAGCAGAATCCAGAATCTGGAATCAATCTGGAATATAACTCCAGAAATGAGTTCTCGAGGTTAACCAGAGCAAACCGCGGACATTCTCGCGACCATCCTCACTCTGACCGCGCTCCGTGCTTCACCGCGGGCGAGTCGCGTTGCCGACACGACATTAGCTGCGGCATCACCCGTGCTCCTGCCACTCAGCCTCCGTATCTGACTCGACTTCCATGTGCAGGTCAAGGTCGCCGCTCGCTCCAAGACTCGCCAGGCTTGCCGGGTTCAACGACAGCTGGCTGAGAATGTCCTCGTCACTGCCGCGATTACTGAAGTCCATGTACTTCTCAAGGAAGCCCCGTTGTCCACCCGCCGCCGCCGCTGTCCTCGCAGCCGACGACTCCGACGTTTCGACGGTGACGGTGGCGCCGCCAGGTGGGACGCTCGGTGCGATTTCAACGGGGGCGCCCTCAGCGGCCGTCGTGTTCTCCTTGCTGTGGTTGTCGAGGTGGAAGAGCAGGTCGTTGATGTGCTCGAGGTGTTCACCGCACAGCTGGCAGAGGTAGGGCTTGACGCCGTGCGCCCGGAACAGGTGCTGCTGGCACTTGGACGCGACACCGTACTCGCGCGCGCACACGTAGCAGCTGAAGCCACCGCCGCCGTTCGAGCCATCGCCGACCGGTGACCCGTCGCTCGCGTGTGCGGAGAGGTGCGCGACATAGTCGGTCTTCGTCTCGAGTGCGTGGCAGCACAGCGTGCACTTGTACGGCTGCTGCTGGTGAACCTTGGCGAGATGCGTGTTGTAACGCACCTTCGACTTGAACGTGGCACCGCACTGCTGGCAGCGGTGATGGGGATGACTAGCGTCTGACACTGCTGCTGCCATTCCGGTCACCTGCTGCACTTCCTCTGCTGCAGCCATCTGCTGTCTTCCATTTGTTACAATCATCTGCTGTCCTCCGTCTGTCATGGTCATCTGTCCTCCATCTGTCATTGTCATCTGTCCTCCGTCTGTCACGGTCATCTGTCCTCCGTCTGTCACAACCATCATCTGTCCTCCGTCTGTCACAGTGACCTGTCCTCCGTCTGTCATGATCATCCGTTCTCCGTCTGTCATGGTCATCTGCTGTCCTGCATCTGCAACAGTCATCTGTTGTTCTCCGTTTGTCACGGTCATCTGTTGTCCACTGTTCACCAGGCTCCCATCACCGCAGGGTTTTCCGATTGCGGCGGTGGCAGCCGTTTTCATCAGCGGAATCTTTGGCTGCAGGTTGTGGCAGCGCACGACGTGAGACATATAGCTCTCATCGTCAGCAAATGCCGTGTTGCACTCGTGGCAGTCGACGCGCCGCGTTGCCGTAGCGACCAGGTGCTCCACCGTGGCGTGTGTGTCTCGTGCGAGCGCTCCGGGGAACAGCAGCGAGCACACGCTGCAGCGGTGGCAGGCAATGTGCCGGTGAACGTGCTGCCGCAGCCGGGCGCCGTCGGGCAACGATCGCTCGCAGATGGGACAGCGCGCGTCAGTGTGCGCGAGGCAGTGGTCGTAGAACAATTGAGCCGCATCGAATCCCAGCTCGCACGGCCTGCAGTGGAAGATCGAACCACCGGCCGCACTCTCCTCAGTGACTGTACCTGCGCCAGGCCGTGATTCTTCGACTTCGAAGCGATAGTCGTTGAACAACCGCTCGACGGTCTCCTGGACCGACTCATCGATGTGCCCGCCTTCCGCCGAGGTGATCACTTCAGGCTCTAAAGGTATGGCGGGCGGCGCGTCCACCAACTTGTAGGTAGAGGTTAATGACTTCTGAGGATCGCTGTTCATCTCTGAATGTTCGCTGAGGTGTGCTAGTAGCGCTCCCTTCTGCATTACCTATGTGACAGGTTGAAACGCAGAACCTGGCATTCTAACGTATAAATATAAATGATACATTCAGGTAGTTTTGCTGTTTAAAAATATTGTGAAAAAATTAAAATCTGATAACTAAGATTCGTCCTAGATATGAATCAGCCTTACCGTTCTTCTATGCACATTTTTAGGCACATTATAACCATAGTGCGCTGATTATACACAAACATCGCTAAATTACTTAACATGTAAAGAATCAAGCATTTTAGTGAACTACTAACTTTTCCACAGAGCTGGCATGATGTGCCTCTTCCAACTTTCCCTTTCATGCTTTCCTTCTTCTTGCGTAATGGCATAGCCCGGTGGTAGTTGTCCATGTGTTTGCGCAATTCCAACCCCACAGGGAATTGCATGCCGCACATCTTGCACTTGAATGGCCCATTCGTCTTACACGACTGGATGTGCTTCAAAAAGGCCATGCGGTATTGGAACAGCTTACCGCACTGTTGGCAAATTGTATCTGGCTTGTTGGTATGTGTGGCCTACAAACAGAGGTGGTTAAATTTTTTTAGCTAGGTAATGGCTAATTACAAAATATCAACAAAACAACCCACACAACAGAGCATAACAAAGTAATAAGGAACATTACATTACCTGGCCTAAATATGATGTCCAAAAATCCTATATAGAACTCATTTTGATCACATGCTAATTTAAGATAAGATTCATTTCAAGAGAGTTGTTTCAAGGAAATCATGTGCATAACAGAGTAAAACACCACATTACAGACATATTCACCCACTTACAGTTACACATGATACATAAATTCCCACAGTATTCCCACTTACTTTAGCATTACCAAAATCACCCTACTCAACCTACAAAAATCATGGGTACTGGCCTTTCAAAACACCCGCCACACTGAATAACCGCTTGACTAAGAATTACAGTTAGAGTTAGGTTATTGGGTAAGGATTAGGGTAGGACTAAGGTTAGGGTTACAGTTAGGGTTAGGTAAATTATTTGGAAATCAAGTACAAATAAAGCTGCCATTCACTGTAGCAGGTGTGTCGAACATCTCACAATGCCCAAAGTTGTGAGGTCAACTCCACAGTTTACCTGGTTCCCCACATGTGGCTGTGCTGCCGGCTGCACGGTTACCAGCAAATCGGATGCACTCGCCAGCTGCTGCTGCTGCTGCTGCCGGGCAAAGTGTGCAGATGGCATCTGTGGCTGCTTGAACTTCTCAATGACATCCTCCGGCAGCCGATGCAGATTGATGATCAGCTTCTTCTTTTCAGCATCGACTGAGAAACCGTGCTCCGCCGCACCCAGGAAGATTCCAGACTCCTGCAAGCCCGAGACGTCCGTCTGCACGCTCTGCAGGTCTGAGTAGTCGGAGATCTCCGAGAGTGCGCGCGACAGCGGGGTGTCGAGGTCAGCATTCACCAGTGCGATGTCGTCCAGCGACAGCGACATCAGCGGCTGCTGCTCGACGAAGCCGTGCGATTGGTCGGCATGTGGCTCCGACAGCGTAGAGCCGAAGCCGGACAACGTGGAGAACGTGGGCGCGGCGACAGCGGAAGGGTTGTCCATCGTCACAGGGCTGGCCGCCGACATCACGCGCACGCGCTTCGACGGTTCCTGGTACGCCGAGTAGAGCATGATGTCGGAGAGACTCACGAATGGGTTCTGCTGTGCGTTGGGCCGCTTCACAGGCTTTGCGAGCTGCACAGGCTGCAGCAGCGGCATCGGCTTGCTCTGTTGGCCACTGGCGGCGAGCGTGTGCGTCCTTATGTGGCCGATGTAGTCCAGCTTGTTGCCAAACGAATTCCCGCATGCTGGACAAAACAGCACAGCTAAGGAGTCGACCCGCAGAGTCAAACTGTGCTGGTACTCTTCTGCTACCCCACCGACCACCCTGAGTATAACAGTAAGGTACTCCTCTTGGTCACCAGATGCAGACATGGCAGCCACAGACTACCAAGCGATTAATGGTCAGGAATTCGATTGAAGATTTCTGCAAACAAAAGACATTTTATATGAAATTTATAACCTGCATAACCAACTGTATTTGATGTACATTCCATCTTCAAGGAATTTGCTGGACCACCACAGCTATGCAGAACAGAGCTAATCTGATTCAAGTGTGCAAAATCAACAGTCTACGTCTTTCCTGTTAATTTTAAGTGCCCACGAGACCTCACCGAGTGCTAACATTTGCCAAGAAACTAGAGCACTGCTCGAAATACCTGATGTTACTTGGCTGGATTGTGTGAAATTGCTTAAATTCTTTGAAAACATATGAAGTACACAGATTAGGAGTGACCACAAGCCGGGGTTTTTACCAGGTATTTATTTTCATCTAATAAGCAAGTAAACCTTAAAACAGAAACCTAAACGTTAAATATTTGAAAACAACCGTTAATGAACTGTCGTTTTTGTATTATATATTTTCTTTGCATTGTATAACGCTGTTTTGTACTGTAATACTAGCTCAGATATTTTATTATTTTAACCGCTCAACACTATTGCATCTATCAGATTTTTTCTCCATGAAAAAGACTGCCTTCAGTACATGTATTTGTATATCAATTACATGCGATAAAGATATAATAATAATAATAAAATAATAAAACGTTATTATAATAATACACCTCAATGGACGGAGCACGCAGCAGAGTCTTACTTTCCTACCGCTAGATGGCCGTCATTCGCCATGTTGTAAATTTGATGTCTTTCGGGATTGGCGCCAGTTTTAATGAACATTGACTTATATATTTAAAATTTTTATATTTGTATTTGAAGTACATGCAATAAAGATTTAACAAGTGCCGCGGAGCGACAGCGCTCATCTAACGTCTACTGCGGTGACTCTGTGGTGGAGTGGTGGGATTCTAGTAAACCCTGTTAGTCCCAAATGTGTTCACATACACGCCGAAAACCAGTGGAAGGCACAGGGTATGGTATCAGGAACCTTCTCAAAGGAATGTTCGTTGGGATCGTTATGAAAGTTGCCACGAGATGGCGCGTACGTTCAAGTGTCTTCAGATTAACGATGGAAGCTCCCATCATAACGTAAGTAGCAACTAACACTATTTGCAAGACAGAATAGGTAAGCACTCGTCCATTTACCTACGCAAGCCTACAGGCTGCCAATAGAGAGCTGCCACCTGTAACTAATTAACGCAGGCAAAAACTACACAGTACCACCACCACATGCACTGGCAAGTGGCCACTGGCAGTGGCATACGTTACATGTAAAATACTGACAGTACAGAATGCCATAGAAATTATACGATTTAAGGAGCATAACCTTCTTCAACCAAATTTAGCTTTTGAAATTTCACTGTGACATTGTAGCCTCGTACATCCAGGCATGTATAATTCTACTAGCAAACCCGGCAGTCAAATTCTTTCTAACAGTAAAACAAATCCATGTTTAACCCTCCTCTTGAGGGTCAAAAGGTTATCCGACACTTACTCTTCGCATGTCAGCAGAAGGGACATTTCATGGTCCTTCCAATAAAGCCATAAAAATGCTAGTCACCGCTGAAACAAAAAAGTTTTTCAATCGCTCCGTCAGGCCATGTCCTCAGAAAATGTTTAAAATCTGCCCTGTCCCATTGACCTTTGACCTGTGACCTCCAATTCGGCACAGTGATGGCTTTCCTACATGATGCTATACACCGACTATCACGAGCCTAGGTCAAGCCGTTTAGATTTGTGCCGAATTCGCATTTCCTCCCTATACCTTAAATTAAGGAGTGAATGTTCCCCTTCTTTTACCCCTCTTTGACTTTGACCTTTGACCCCCAGCTTCGACATCCCAACTCGGTTTGAGATCCCCCCGCTGTGCCGAATATCATGACCGTATGTCGAGCGGTTAAGATTTGTGCCCACTGTTGACGCACGACGGACGGACGATCGTGGCGATTCTACAAGCTGCATCTGACTATGTCAGATGAACTAATTAATAATAACATAATTAATGAACAATTGTGCTGTGTAGCTAATACACTGATATAATATATATAGTCAGTGTATAATATATATATATATATATATATATATATATATATATATATATATATATATCAGTGTTACTGTATTAGCGACACAGCACACCACAATCCCAATGGAAAAGATAATCCCCGGGCACTCTGTGAGGCGAGCCCACAATGTAGGGGTGGTCGGTGAGAGTATGGTTAGGTTTAGGTTAGTTTAGGATAGGGTTAGCAGGGCTCAATTTAACAGTCGTCCGTTCATCCGTGACGACTGATTTTCTCTCGGGCACTAAACAAATTGCTTCCGTGGTGTCCGGTGTCCAACCTCTATAAAAATTTTATATTCATAATGCGCGCGTTCATTTTACATACGCCAGGGTTGCACAATACCTCCAAACGTACATGTCTAGACGCATTGTCTGGCTTCCTTGATACAAAAGTATACACATCACGTGTTTAACAACAAATGTTTCGTTATTAACACAATGTTTTAACACCATTATTAACACAATGTTTTCGTGCAATTTCAATTTTTACTCATCTGTGACTTGACACAGTGTTAGTAATGTTAGTAATGTTAGTAGTATTATTTAGTACTATTAGTACACATTAGTTAACTTAATGTAAGTGTTATGAAATAAATTTCATGCAACTTTTAATTAACTATTATTATACATCATTGATCCCAGCATCATTTACCACATTACCAATATTTTATTCTCTTCATATAATGAGTGAAACAATGCGATATGGCCATGTCTGCTGTCACTGCAATACGTACAAATTAACATGATTAGGCCTTTTGCTTTACAGCAGCTGAGCATCACGTGAGCAGAGCGGCATGCAGCACATGTTAAAGGGAGAGTTTACTCTAGTTCTAGGGTTATTTTCAGCTAATTTAGGTTATAATTACGCTACATAAAAAGTTTCATGTTCAATCACCATTAGAAATTTTTTTTTAATGTTTTAAAACTAACGACTACAGTTTGATTACAACGAGCGGTGGCGCCCACTCAAGCGCACGATCTGATAAGTTACGCACACCATTTCCAGCCAAGGCTACAGACCGAGGGTGTTTCTTATTTATTCATTTAAAAGCAAAAGGATTGTAATATCTTATAAACGACATATAGTTTTCAATTATAATATGGATAGATTTGCCCTAAAAATGAATATCGTTCGGTAAATAGCATTTAGGTACTAAATATAATTGCACTTTTGTGATTAGCCCTCGGTCTGTAACGCGAAAAATAAATTGTCAAATACGCAACTTTTTCGGGGTGGCAGCACGGTCGCGGGTGCCATGGCGCCGTTCAAATTTCGTAGCGTTGATGTGTAATTAATTATAACAATTAAATTAGGTATCTGGTAACAAATACGTGCGGGTATAGACGATTTGTTATACAGTAAGTACAGTTGTATGCAGTAAAATCCTAGAGGCTACTGTCCCTTTAAATAATATCCGGACAACCAAAACTCTTGAGGGACAACCATATGCTACTCTCTTGGTTGTCCTCCGGACAACCCAAAAAAAACCTTAAAATTGAGCACTGGTTAGGGTTAGAGTTAGAGTTAGGCCTATACCCTACCCGACCCTACCCTACTCGACCACCCCTACACTGTGGGTTCACCCTCACAGAGTGCCCAGGGATTAGTCTTACCCAATCCCAATGGCGAGTGGCGGGAGCGGCTAGTTCTACATCAGTTTTTGTGAAAGCAAGTTGATATACAGTGACACAACAGTGGAAGCGTAATAAACGGGTAGTTTTTGTGAATATGCCGCGTTCATATTATTCTCAGTTTTTACCAACTCTGTCCCACGTGCCTGTGCCAGGGCCAGGCAGTTTTCATGCAGGATCAAATTTGCAGTCTGTAGGCTATACTACTAATACTATACTAATAGTAATACTATTTCTAGCGCCAGGCGCAGCATGCTACAAACTAGATCAAACACTACTCACTACTATTACTATGAATAATTACAATGACTAGGGCTAGGGAGTAGGGGGGGGGGCGAATCATGCGAGCTCAAGGGCACGAAGCGCCCGACTGGGAAGGGTACTAGGCTAAAGTACCATTGTCCTGAAAATTCTAAGGCACCTAGCTAGGCCCTACTAGTACTACTACTAGTACTAGGCTAGGGGCGACTAGCCACAAGTTCCCTTCTCGCTTAACACTACGTTGGCGAGAGGTGTGTAACAGTAACATCCTACGAGTACGAGTAACATATCCAGCGTAGTGGACACCGACAAGTATGAGAACATAACATAACTATAAACAGTAACACTCCTACGCCGTGTAACAGTCGGAGAGCCTGGTCGGTTTAGAGGGCGACTAGCTCTAGTAACTATAGCTAGCGTATACTATTCGCAGACTATACGTTCTGCATATCACATAATCATAATCACATATGATATAACGATAAGGCTTATTTGATAATCATACTGACTAGGAATATCTTAAGATCCTTATCATGAGGTTATGAGTCTATGGCAATAATCAACAAGCTTCTTTTCTGATCAGTGCTGCCACACCGCGACTAAAAGTAAAAACAGTCCAAATGAAAAATCTTTTATACTACTACTAGTTTTTGAGAACCCAAAAACAGAATCATGAGAATGTATATTATGTTGTGCTCAACCGAGAACGTTCGGCTCGCAGCTGAGTATTCAACGGCTGAAATAAAACAGCTTTGCGGGGGAGTAAGATGACAATAATAGAAGGAGTAGAGAAATGGCACGCACGCACACACGTACGCACGCACGCACGCACGCACGCACGCACACACGTACGCACCCACGCACGCACGCACACACGAAGCTCAAAAAGGAGGAACATCAACTCTACCTCGGCGTGGAGCTCACTGATGACCTCTCTTGGTCTACCCACATCAGTCGGTCGAAAGGGAAGGCAACCGGGGCCCTAAATTTCATCCGCAGGAACCTTGTAGGATGCCCAGAACCTGTCAAGGAGATGGCATACAAAGCATACGTGAGGCCGAGCCTCGAGTATGCAAGTAGTGTCTGGGATCCACACACACAGAAGGATATCACCTCCCTGGAGAAAGTGCAAAGACGAGCAGCGCGCTTCGTAACGGGGAATTACCAGCAAACTGAGAGTGTTACACAAATGATCGCAGACCTACAATGGCCCTCCTTGCAGGAACGCAGGTTTGTCAACCGACAGACCCTATTCTGGAATGTAATCAACGGACAGGCAGCAGTCGACATTCCATCCTTCCTCACCAAAAGCACCAGCATATGCCGCGGCACACACCAGCTTACATACAACAACATCAGAACCCGAACAGATGGGTACAGGTTCAGCTTCTTTCCTAGAATAATCAGAAGCTGGAATCTGCTACCGGAGTCACTACTCACTAGTCCAACAGCACAGCAATTCACTGGGTCCCTCTGGAAAAACATTGAGTCAGGCAGCTTCGTTGTTATACCACCTCGAGGAAGTGAAACGCATCTCCGACTGGGCAACTACAACAGCTCGCAACAGCCTATTGCCGTATGCTAGTCGCACTCAGTAATGAGTGCCTGGCCCAGAGAAGCCTCGATCTCTGGAACACATTACTGTCTACATTAAAAAAATATTCTATGCAAATCTCTCACGTGCACCTGGAGTTCTTCGCGCACTCCCTGGACGTTTATTTCTTACGGACTGTCCAGTATAGAAGTAGAAGTAGAAGTAGAAGCACGCACGCACACACGTACGCACGCACGCACACACACACGTACGCACGCACGCACACACGTACACACGCATGCACACACGTCCGCACGCACACACGTACGCGCGCACGTACGCACACACGTATATACGCACGCACGCACACACGTACGCACGCACGCACACACGTACGCACGCACGCACACACGTACGCACATACACGTCGCACGCAAACGCGACAGCACGTACCGCACGCAGCACACACGTACGCACATACGACGCACGGCACGTCCGCCGCACCACAGGCCGTACGCACGCACGCAAACACGTACGCACCACACACGTCACGCACGCACGTACGCAACACATACCACCCACACACGTAACGGCACGCACGCCACCGTACGCACGCACGTACTCACTACCGTATATACGCACGCACCGCACACACGTACGAACGCAGCGCACACACGTAACCGCACGGCACGCCACACATATGCACCACGCACAACGTACGCACGCACACACTACGCAACGCACGCGAACGGTACGACCACGCAACGCGCGCACGCACACACTACCGCACGCACGCACACACGTACGCACACACGTACGCAGGCACGCACGCACACACGCACGTACGCACGCACGCACACACGTACGCACGCACACATTCAGTCAGAATACGTAATAATAAATTCATTATTATCTACTGTTGCTAAAATTGTATTTTTAAACAACGTTTTAAATATGCTAAGCGAAGAGCGTTTTATTGTGTCCAATGGTAGTCTATTCCATTGGTTAGCTTCTTTAGTGAGTTGTGGCCATCCATATTATTTGTTAATTTGTATTAATTTCTTTGTCCTTGAATTTAGTGCAATATTTGTCACTGTTATGGTAGGAGATTACTTAATTCTGAGTGGGTTGCTAAGGTGGTGGATGTATTTGTATATAAACTGTGTGGTATTTAATTAGGTATTCTATTGGAGGCACTTTTAGCTGATTTCCGATTCTAGATGCTGGTCCTGCCTGTCGGTATGATGTAGCATTTTTGTGGGAATAACCTTTTATTATGCGTAGAGCATAGTTATGTAGTCTGTTTAGTTTATATCAAGAGCTGATTTGGGGAGATTTATTAGCATTGTAGAACCATATATGAGGTGCTGCAGGCTATCTTAATTCAACACTGTTCCTAATTGCTCCACCTCTATCTCTTTGCTTCCATTTTCGTTCGTTTTAGATAAAACGTGACCCACCCTACGCTTTCAAGTTTAAGCACATCTCTAGTCCTGACTATATTATCACTGTACCTCAGAGTCACGGACCCCAAGAATTCTGCAAAGGTACGTAACAAGGGTAATTTCAGGCTTTTTCGGGTAATAAGGGCTTTTTCGTGCCTCACTCTATGATCACACATTGAACATAAAATTATGGACATTCAATTTAGAATAGAGAAGAGAGCTATAGAGCGATTATGAGATATGGTGGATAAAAACGAATAGCTTTACAGAAAATAGAACAAATATTAATGCTGTTAAAATGTGCAACTTACAAATAAAAGACAAAATGACACATTGAATGTAAGGCAAGTTTTAAAACTCAAGATATTTACTATAGCAAAACATTGTCTGTCTGTGTTTGGTAGATGCATATGCGCACATTTATATATATACATACAGATGTTTCTGCAAAACGGACCTTGATACTAACTACTATCATTCAGATAAAAATACCAAGCGATGTGTATAATCAACACTTTTTCAACACACTAATAACTTGTCCATAAGAGCCCAGATATATTAATAAAGAACCAGTAATGGCCAATCATGCTTCAGAGAACAGTTACTCAAATTAACAAACACATATATAAGGCATACAAAACTATTTCTTGAATGAACTGGTATAGTCTTGTAAGATGTTGCTGGATAGTGGACCTAATCAAATTGCAATCCCCTGACCTTAACTAACATAATCTAAAGGTGCATCAGTGCCTCCTTTTAACAATGTAAGCTAACATTTCATAAGTAACATCAGACTATAGATCATACATATCATTTTGCAGAAAAGCGCAGAGTCCATTAAAAATAGTGGACATATTTTAAAACAAGGATCGATGACTCTGATTCACAACCAGGACACCAAATAATATTATGCAAATTATACAAACAATATTTTGACACATGTATGTACACTATACTGCGTGGGAAATACTGCATTTCAGAGACTGAAAAGGTCACCAGCAGATGGCAGTGGTGCTAATCCACCGGTGACATCTGGCAGCAACGTGAGGTCAGGCAGGTTTTGTAGATGTGATTTGAGCTCCTTGCGCACATTTATTACACTCTCTAGTTTTTTCTTCCATTCCTATAAAACACCAAAACACGATTTTAAATTAAAGCATTTTAATGTGTATAGGCATCACATTACCGTAGAGTACATTCTTCATGCCTACATTTGTAAAATACGATCAATCTACTGAGAAAACTTGCAAAAAATTGTGATAGAGAACTTGCTAAATGTTGGGAGCCAGATGAACATTTTTTAACGTTGGTTTGCAGTCGTCAGCTGTGCAATTCAGCGGTTGTTTCACTTTTAATTATAATGGCATAATGCAGATGCATCAGAGAAAAAATTACTTTTTTTTCACGTGAGCTCTTTTTCAAGTCTGTGGAAAATATAGCTCTCGTCAAAAATTTTACGGGAGCTATTTTGAGCCTCACGGGAGCGATTTCGGAGGTTTGAAGAGCGCATCGCGCATCGCTCCCGTGTATTTTTTACCCTGGCACGCATGCATGCACAAACATTATCGCTCATAGGGTCTATGTCCCCCAGGGTACTGCCAGAACGTACCCTGGGTACGGTCCGGTATACCGGAACATACCCTGGTAACTATCTGATATGGTTAGGGTTAGGGTTAGGGTTAGGGAGTAGGCGTAGGCAACTCCCTAAACTCGTTAGTGAAGTAGGCGAGGTACGGTCCGGCATATTAGATAGTACCAGGGTACGTTCCGGTATACCGGACTGTAGCCAGGGTACGTTCCGGTATACCGGGCCGTACCCAAGGTACGTTCCGGCAGTACCCTAGGGAACATAGACCCTCTCAACAACATTAACCCTCACACACACGTATGCATGCATACACACACATTACCTGCAGCAACTTTTGCGAGTCATCGAGGTGTTGCCGTTGAGCAGATATGAAAGCACCTAGCATGCGTGAAACATGGCGCCTCTCTTCCAGTTCAGCGTACAGACGACCATTGTAATCCGACAGCAGCGACACGGCTGCCTCCACCTGAGCTCCAAGCCTGTCTGCATCCTGCTTGTCTGAAATACACAGAGACAGGTTTTAGTGGGCACCAACACAGCTGACCGACATATCTGCCTAGCACGAGTGAGAGGCAGCTCTGAGTTGTCAGTGTTGCGAAAAGGGCATTAAAGGATTAGTTGCGAGATTCTTGCTCAGAAACACTCAATCCGTGAAAAAAAGCGAAATATAGTCTCACCTCACAGTGGATATATCACTGATTACACCAACTTGAAAAACACTAATATTTTATGCAGTTGTACAGGCCCGTAACCAGCGAGTTTTGCGGGGGGGATCGAATTAGGTAACACCGGAACTCGAAGGCGGAGCCCGAGCGCGGACGCACACGCACGCACACATACGCACGCACGCGCAGCGGCACGCACACGCACGCACACACACTCGCACGCGCACGCACACGCGCACTCCCACACACGCCCACACAGAGCCCGCACACAGACGCACAGAGACGAACGCCCACACACCAGGGGCGCAAATCCAGGGGGGGACAGGGAATGTGTGTGTGTGAGTGTGCGTGTGCGTGTGTGCGTGTGTGTGTGTGTGTGTGTGTGTGTGTGTATGGCTGCAGGGGGATGTACAGGGTTTTTTTCTGGCTTTTTTGTACACCTTGGTTGGGCCAGCTGCAGCTCGCGCCAGCAGTGATGAGATTGCAGTCGCCAGGAGAATTCTTACTCGCCGCGGCGAGTGGGCGACCGCTGTGTCAAGCGCTGCACAGTAATATTAGAAGATCTCACTCTTGAATATATAATTTGATTTTAAGCAGATTTATTATAATAAAATACAGCCTATAATGCTGCAAATAAAGTGCAAACTTACTACAGAGTACACTCAGTACTTCAGGGCTGCCAACATTGGGTAATAGGTGAGAGTGAGAGGCGAGGGAGTGAAGCGACCGAGGGGGGGATGGTGTTTCCCCCCTGTTTCCCCACTCCCACGGTAGGGAGCTTTTGCATTTTATAACTTCAATTTGTGCAATTTGGTACATACTAAAGTGACTGTTTCAGATATTGTAAAGATTTTTTTTGCTGTGCGTGAGATATTTGAGCATTATTTTTCTGTGCGTGAGATATTGTATATCAGATATTGTCAGCGTGAGAGCGTGAGGATTTTTGGTCAAAATGTGTGATGTCTCACGGTCAATGCGTGAGGAGTGGCAGCCCTGAGTACTTGCTCCTCGTCCCGACAGCAAACTTTGAACTTTTGAAGTGTTCACGTATTCTAATGAGCCGCCCGTACCACCGCCTTCAAAAAATCTAAAAATTCTCAGAAGATGGAGCTACAGTGTCATACGATCGATTGTGTACTTAGATTCTGTATGTGCATGTATGTGTTTGCATTCGAACGCTACAGCCCCTGTTGTGACTAATGGCAACGACCCGGCCCGGTCGACCGTAAGCGGTTGTCCCGGCATAGCAATCATTCCGCACGGCATTTTTCTCGCAGGATTTTTCTATATTATTGAAAATAAAGGCGTTACAGTAAATAACAAGTTAATTGTTACTCAACCGTTGCTGGTATGAACGTAACCGCTGACGTTTTCGCTTCCTGTCAGCGAAGCTTTCTCAAAAGCTAACTGAATCTTAATCAGTTTGCACCACCAGAATGGCTGATGGTGGCAATAGCTTAGATCCACAAACGCTGACTAAGCCTGCTATTCCCCCCTCTCGCCGGTGCATACTTTGCGTGGTCTTGCGCCGCATCCAGATGGCGCCTCCTTGAATCCAACGCGCCTGATTTTGTTAGGCTTCGCCGCATCATATGAATCTGCGAATTCTCCCAATCTATTGGGTGTTGTCGTTTCCGTTCGCTACATGTCAGTTGATCTGCGGATTTTGTGATTTCGGTAGCGACTGTTTTCGCTGGGCCCTAGCTGAAGATTGGGCTGCTACGGTGTTACGCTCCTTTTGCGTGTCTCTTTTAGTGCGGTGCTGGTTTTAATTTTCGGCCGCGCTTTCTCCAATGCTTACTAACTTCTTTCACACATAGCACACGCGCGTATTTTAATAGACGGCAGTCCAGTAATGTTTGTGCATTGTCTGTTCTGTCTTTAGGATGCTACTAAAAGCCGTTTTAGTTTCAAACAGTCTCACCTGTTGACGCCAACACCTGCATTTTTAGGCTGACGCTGAACAACGCCCTGTGCCCCTTCTGACGTAGTAGGACGATCATCGTCTTCGCGTTTTCCCGTGGAGGTTTTCTTTTGGGATGATGTTTTTTCCCGTGGTGTTTGCCATCTTCCTTGGACACTTTATCGAGTGTCAATTGGCAGTAGCCCGCATTTCCCTAAAGCGTTCTTAATGTGCGCTGCGCTTCAGCTTCCGGTCCTCACTCTCCGTTATAATTTTGTCTCTAACGATCTAGTAGGCGTCTCGTTACCACAGACAGTTTGTGCATGGTTGACTGTCGTGGTGTGCAGTTGAAGTTAAATTACTGCGTCCGTGTGGCGACTTTTTTCCTGTTTTATACCGTTCAGAGTTTTAATGCCAGCCATCTTCTCGTTTATGGTATGGTGATGTCGAGGAACGCGAATTTTTGAATCAATGTTCTTCTCGTACCGTAAATTTTATGTTGTTTGAGTACTGTCGATGGCTGTTGAGGTGTTTCTGTTCCATTTTGGACCTGCTGACCAGACTTGATGTTGATTTCAAAGTGTCATCTCATAGCGTTAGAGCCACAATTATTGGTTTGCAGATCCGCCGGTGCTGGTGCAATGGCTTCCGCTTTTCAAGCCAATTCCATGCTAAAGATTGGCAACGATACGGTGAGACCGGCGACTACCCATGGCTGCTTCCCAAACTATCTGGCTTGTAAATTTGGTCTCATGAATTTGAAATATGTTGGTCATCAAGGCAAACGTGTGAGTAATTCGATGATATCGTCTGTGGTGAGGTTGGCTTCGCTTCGTTCAACGTTTTGTCTGCTCCAGGTCTCGACTTGATTATGGTAATCGATCTCTGGAGAGTCGGAGTGTTGCGTAAAGAGTGAGACAAGTCATGGGAGACTCAATTCTCGTTCTTGGCTTTCATTACGATATCCGTTTTTAGTTCCTCTGCTAACTCTGTGGTTCTTGCATGTGATGTTCGGTGGTGCCTACAAAGGGTGCCAGTCAGAATCGGCTATAGCTTTTGGCGACAAATTTGTAAATAATATTATATCTTACAATCGATCATGAACTTATTCCAAGCCGTTACAATTTTTGAAAATTCAAAACCCCTCTATTACTTCCCCCTACAAATTGTCGTTAGTTCACCGCTAGGTATCCCCTACCCCCTACGCGAATGGCTAAAACCCCCTACCGTAGGGATTGTTCCCCTACTGAGCGCGTGGCCCGCTGAGAGGCGTCTTATGTCCCCGCGGGCGGGCCGGGTTACTGCCGCGAACGTACCCCTGCGGTACGGTCCGTATACCGGAACGTACCCTGGTACTATCTAATATGCCGCAACCGTAACCTCGCTACTCCACGTAACGAGTCTAGGGCAGTCGCCTAACCTACTCCCTAACCCCGAACCGAAACACCTAATCCTAATCCTACGTATAACACCTAACCATATCAATAGTGACCAGCGGTACGCTTTCGTATTACCGCACCGTACCCAGGCGTACGTTCCGGCAGTACCCTGGGCGACATTAGACCCTATTGAGCACGAGCCCGCGCAGCCTTGTCACAGTTACACTGCGGGCAGGCCGTATTGTCTAGGACACATTGGTTGTTCGTTTGATTACAACTGGTATATACACATCACATTTATGCTGGCGCTTGCAAATATGTTATGCCTGCTGTATAACGCTATAGTGGCCTGCGCCCGCTCAGATTTTGACGATTTTTGTTTAGAGTATTTTGTAGAGCGGAACTCCCTGTTCCGCGGGGGGGATCGTCCGATCCCCCCGATCCCCCCCTGGTTACGGGCCTGTTGTAGCATAGAAAATTGGATATGAACAAATCGTAACACCCTGAAATTTTATCTGCGACAATGGCAGAATGGGTAAACTTGCAAATTGTCGGTGCACAAAATTGCAAACAAAAAGGCATCTGAGATTCTGTTAGAGATGTATAAGTCTATGGCGGAGTGCACTTCGTTTATCTTTTGAAATTGGCCGATAGCTGGTGGTATTAGATGGTCCAAGATTACAACGAAAGGCAGCGGTAATCGAAACGAGTTCGAAATGTACATGTTTTGATGAATACGAAGGTTCTAAAACATTTTATCGTTACTCTAGACAGTTGCTGTTACTCAAGATATAACGGTAAGTGTCGTAAAAGTGGGGAAAACACGAGATTATGCTCGAAATTATGGCTTTGATAAAAGAATGCTCGATAACAACATGCTGCAAACTTGACTTTTCTGCATGCTTATGTGCGTACGAGCTTAACGAGCTCGGCCGATCCAGATTCATCAGCATCAAAGCACACATGGTTATCTTGCGCGACAGCATAGTTCAATCCTGCCACTTGAAGATGCCTACCCATGATTCATACGTTGGAGGAAATGCTCACATGCATACGTCGTGGTTTCATTCACACAGCAGTGAAACGCACCTTTTAGTTTCTCCAGTAGCGATATATCAGAGACTTCCGGTGGCAGAGAGGCGATCTTCTCGCGCACAGCAGCATCACCGGAGGCTGACTGTTCTAACTGCTCTAGTGCTCTCACCAACTCATCTGCCTGCAGGAAAAGTACAGTGAAACCTCGCCCAGTTAAGTGTCAAAACTGGTTATGAACACATATCTAAACGAATTGATTTAAGTGACTATAAACGGATTCTATTATAACCTATATCACAAACATATCTATACGAAGAATATGTACTGGCACTATGGGATTTGGCTGTTACACGGATACCATTTTTCGAAATTTCGGCATCAGCATCACCCTAAGCAACCCTAGCATCCTAAGCAACAAAGCTGAAATGGCATTCATGCTGCAGCCAAAACCCTACAATGCCACTGCATGTTCATATACACATTATTGGTTTATATGCACAGAATCAGCTCACTCACATCTGGGGGATCCAAGGGTTCCTCATCTGCTACAAGTTCCTCTGTTAAGGCAATGACCTCCTCTAGTTTCCTCTTTTTAGTAGAGGTTGGAGGCTCAACTGGCGTTGACTTTGACTCATGGCTTTTTTCTGGAAGACAGACTGGCTTGAATGGCTGCCATGAAACTTGATACACCCAATGTAGTGTCTTTGCTATATGCATGCACCGTATATTGATAATGCACGCTTCCTTGTTATGCTATACACAATGAGTGCTCCCTACACCGAGTACATTTCCTGTTACGCATGTGCACGTGCTGGGGGTCGGGTAAAAAATGTATTATGGATGACAGAGTGTGATTTAATTCATGGTTCAACCCGAGATATGTTAGAGCATAATAATTGATCATCTGACTCTATAGTACCCAATACTATTGCCACCAGACAACATTTATCCCACACTTTATATCTCGTATAACACTGGTACATTTACAATAATGCCTTAGATAGAACCACATAACTCAGTTTAGCTTTTATCCAATTAGTGATACTGTTATATATTGTGCCCTAGAAAATTATACATATAAACTCAGTTCAAGCATAGTTGACAAACGTATATTTCTTGAAAAATAGAAAAAGATATTTAAAATGCAAGCACTACCTCTCTTGTGTTTCTTCTGTTTACGATGTTGCTTCACCAATGGAACTTTAGTAGTAGTAGTCTCCTTTGTCAGGCTTCCGCTACCTTCACAAAGGGGAGAAATACCAAACCTTGTATTGAGGACTACTGGTAAACCCCCAAAAAAATGTTGCAGCATTTTATATCTCCCTATACAATACCATATAAAATTGCCCATACAATGCAAATATGGATATCAAAGCCAGTAACACGCACACAACTTAGTAATTGATAGCCAAAAATACAAAATAAAACTTAAAGAGAAAAAGAAAATACTAACAACGTGTAAACATGCACATATTTTATGAAATAACTTATATTTGTTAGTGCTAGTAAATACGTGATAATCCCCTGTGCATTAAATTGACTACGTCAGGAATTTTCTATGGTAAAATTTGTAAAACGTTTGTTGCAATTTTTTTACATTAAAAGTAAGAACTAACGAGACTAAACGTATCGTCAAATTCTTACCTGATAAGATTGTTTCTCAACTAGTTAAAAATCCAAAAAACCTGGACGATTTGATATTATGATCCTGACAGTTAATTGCTTGCTATGAGGCCTATGTAGATGTCACGACGTGGATGTTCAGCATCAAACAATATAGTAAAATAGCGAAGTATAATCCAGGCAATTTAACCATAAACAGTTGATACAGAATTACTTATATTTTATGAAAAAATTCTATTCTCCTATTCTATTTGATTATTATTTATTATAGAGAACTTATTTTTTATTTTTAGCTCCATTTACAGTGAACGTAATCACTTATAATCTAATCCTAATAGACACAAGAAATTTAAAAGCTCACCATCCTCAAATGACTTTTTTAGTTGTTTGCAGAAAGTTGCATCATAAACACCACGCTCTTCCCATATCCTGACAATTCGCATGACAGATTTGAGAGTTTTTTCATCCTTGCAATCACTGAAAATATATGTGATTGCCAGTACATTCAATAGTACCATCGCAATATATGCTGATGCAACCTGTTAGCAACAATATCAGACAATAGCTCAATGAAACATATAATATGGTTATGCGCAATTTTTCAAGTCATAGCACAGTCACATCACATAAAGCTTCAGACATACCTCGCAATGTGGCGTACTGCACCAGCTAACACATCAAGGAAGGCTTTATTGAATTCTGGTCCCTTTTTCTTGCTGTTCTGTATCACATCATTTGCCAGATACATTAGTGTCAGCTTCCTAGCTATAGGTGCTGAAAATACATCACAGTCGGTAATTATAGTTTTTTGGTATAATGCAACAAAAGCTTTGATAAAGAACGAATGTATATATGTGACGTTAACATCAGAAACGTTTCAAAGGCTTGAAATCACTCTTCGCTGCATGACAGTATATAGGCTGACAGTGGGGATCGAAATTAATACTAGTCTGGAGTCAGCATGCCCTGTTTTACTCCACCCTAAAATAACTTGCAGAGGCATACCCAGACATTTTTTGATGGTACGCAAAATTGCGCTGAAATTTGTCAAAGTTGTTATTTTTACTGAAATCCTTCGACCATCTGGCATAATGACACTGTAGTCATTATTCTTATCACACGCATAATTCTGTAAGCCCAACTGAACATTACATGAAAAACTACAATAAAGAATACTTCTTCTTTTTTTATTCTGAACAATTTTAGTACGCATTTGCGTACTTTGCGTATAGGTAGGTACGCCCCCGACTTGGTAACCCTGCAATTAGACCAGTACCCAGGTATCATCTTTTACAACTGACCATATCTAATAAAAAGATAATTGTTTATCCTTGCTCTCTATACAAGATGGTTTAAAGTTGCTAAGTATGACTCTAGTTACTATAGTGGGCTTTGGTGCGGACGTGGGAAAGCTATATGAACTACAGTAAAAACCCGCGAGTAAGAACCTAGTTTTTAAGAACGCTGTGGCTACGGATACGGCAGCCGTATCTTAATCTCTCGAGGCTGGAGGTACGGCAGTCCATTCGCTTTCATACTTAACGAGACAAAGATGGCGGCGGGTGGCGCCAGATTTCGAAATAACGCCTTGGGAAATAAATTCACGATTTGAGAGTTTAGATGAGCTAGAACCCTAACCCCAACGCCAAAAAGGGGCTTCAACAAACGACGGCTGCCGTACCTCCAGCCACTGCATTTTAAGAACCTGTTACGCTAAAATTTGCCAGTTATACCCCCTCTATACAAGAACCTGTTTAGCCTAAAATTTGAAGCAGGTTCTTATTTTCTAAAATCTATATAAAAAGATGTGTACACTTATGCGAATAAGATAGATCAACATTTTGGATCCTTTTTTGGAGACACAGGTGCTTTATCACTCCAATTTAATACACTGTAAATGCCAATGTTGAAAATCAAATAGAATTGTTATTGTTGCAATTACACATAAGATCCATCTCACACAGTGATCTTGCGACACGTACACGCATGATTGCGCAACGGGACACTCTGCTGATTGCCGACTGTGTGTGTGTGTGCGTGAGAGAGAGAGAGAGAGAGAGAGAGAGAGAGAGAGAGAGAGAGAGAGGGAATGTGTATGTGTGTATGTGTGTATGTGTATGCGCGAGAGAGAGAGAGCTAGAGGTGTGTGTGTGTGGTGCACGTGTGTGTGTGTGTGTGTGTGTGTGTGTTGGTGACAGGGGGTTGTCTTCCTCCCGCTTCATTTATATTAAGTAAGCGGGTTGGTCCCTAGCATTCGTAATAGAACGTCCTATATAGCCCTGCGGCAACTGTACGCGGCTATAGTACTAGAGCTATATCATAGGGGTATGTATGGGTATTATGGTATTATTAGCCCGACAAGGCTCTTCGACTGTATCACGTTGTAGGAGCTTGACAACCTTCCATACAAAGTGAGAGCGAGAAGGTAACTTGTGGTAACTCTAGCCGCTAACTTGTGGCTAGGTATGTCGGTAAGTATGTGACTTGTTGTGGGGTAACAGGGGCGTGTACAGAATTTGTACCAGGGGGTGGGGGTCTAACCGTAACCCAAACTTGCGAGCGCGAAGGGGGGGGGTCTGGGGGGCGCTCCCCCTGAAAATTTTTGAAATTAGAGTTCCTTAGATGCGTTTTCTGCGCGAGCAGGGGGGGGGTCCGGACCCCCTGGACCCCCCTGTACACGCCCTTGGGTAATGTAACTACTCAATGTTGGGTTACATTATTGAATATTGCAATTTGTATCTAACCTTTCCCCAGTTCGCTGAACCACACCACAACGATCTTTTTGGCGTGTTTTCTGTGATGGATGAGCCACAGTGAGAGGGTCTGAATACTCTGCTGCGTATTGTTTACTTCCTTCAGTTTTTTCACTAACGTTGCATCTGTAAAGCTTGCCATTTTCACACAATAAACACAAACATGCAAAGTGAATCAACCATCTACTAGTACTATGATCCAACACTGCAACAGTGCCCGGCAATGTTTGGTGCCGACAGGCCAAGTTGCTATAAACATGCAGAGAATGTGATTGGTCCTGTACTTAATACGTCATGACGCCATATCTTTGTCAACTCTCAACCGGGAGTGTCTATATTCAGCCGGTACGGGAGATTACGGTACGCATATATTTGCTAATATATTGACTATCGCGCGTCAATAAACTCAATATTCACAGAGAGTATAGCTAAGACATGTGTCTATATGTATCTTAGAATATAATTATGCAAATGATCTCCGTACGCGGCTTGATTCATATACTCTCTGTGATATTGAGTTTATGACGCACGATTAGTCATATAGCAAATATATGCGCGCGGAAGTGATTACAGATGATTAAATTTTAAAATTCTTAATACCTATAGACACATGTCTTAAGCTATACTCTCTGTGAATATTGAGTTTATTGACGCCACGATTAGTCAAATATATTAGCATAATATTGCGTACCGTATACTCCCGTTCCGGCCTGAATATAGACACTCCCTCTCAACCAGGCCGCAAAGGGCTCCACGCGATTACATCTCATTGGTTATAACACAAACGACGTGACCAAACTATGCAAATTATCTCCTGTACCGGCCTGAATATAGACAACCCCCGCCAAAGTCATGAAACGCTAGGCAATGCACGCTAGATACATGTTACCAGGAGTCTATCAATAGATCCGGCTGATGTTACGGTCAGCTAGTTTGGTTCGCATATATTAGAGGAAACAATATCAATAAATATGAGTAAATAAATATGAAGATAATATGTTATCAATGCACGCTAGATTCATGTTACGGTCAGCCAAGAACGGCGGAACCGGGGGGGGGGGGCAGGGGGCACTTGCCCCCCAAAATTTTTTAGATTTTTTATATTTTTACTATGTATTTATTATATTTTTACATGATAAACGTGCCATTTTATGGCTTTGCCCCCCCCCCAAATTAAATACGTTCCGCCGCCCTTGCCGGGTCAGCTAGTTTGGTTCGCATATATTACAGGAAACAATATCAATAAATATGAGTAAATAAATATGAAGATAATATGTTTTAACCTCTTCTAATTTAAAATAGTGTTTTTTATCTCATACATTACAAACAATGTGTATATAAATAAAATATGCAACTATAGATCAATCTTATAAAGAATAAATATACACAAATCACGATAAACATGCATCGCGCATAGTATATATGTATGTATAAGGTGTGTATCACTGTGTGTGTGTGTGTGTGTGTGTGTGTG